GTGTGCGGTTTGCGACATTTGACTTGGGCTTGAAATGTCTTCATGCGCAGCCATTTGCTCATTGCTGCTCGAGTTGCGAATAGAGCGGCAGAAGTCGGTTTCACAGTCGGTGTGGGGGGCCTTCGAGGCGATGTGGCGATCTGTTTTCATGCCGTGTGTTTGACAAAGGTTTCCATTTACACATCATCATGTGGCACCCACCAAGGACAGAGGACAATGACGCTAACAGACAGTCCGTGCACCTGTTTACTTCGAGCTTCCGCAACATGGCTGCTCTTGAGAAACTTTCGCACGACATTTTCCAAATGTCGGCACGAGTACGGCGTCCTCACGGCTCCGACCAGTCCACGGATTCATCGGGTAAGGCCCCCGTGCCAGCAGTACCACGTGGTTGTGGTGGTTCATCCTCGGAAGAGCTGCTGTCCGATGATTCTGAGAATTCGTCGGGATAGGCACCCGTACTGCTCAGCACTGTTCGAGCATGTTCACCTTGGCCGGCCTGACCTGTAGGGCCGGCACCAGCGCCAGACGAGTACCTTGTGTCGGTACAAACACTGTGGTTGGTAGCGCGAATCCGTTTCCTAGGGCGCGAGCCTGAAGTAAATGGCAAACGGCAAACTGGCACACCGAATGCAGCGGAGGAGCAAGGGCTGCCCAAGGCCAAGCACTTGAGCGACAGTCTGCGCCAGCTCCAGGGAATCGGTGTAACAGACGAGTCCTTGAAGCCAAGGATGCTGACGTCGCAATCCCATGCCGACATAGCAGCTGAAGAGGACGACGTCACCACTGAAGATCTCCCCCTTGGTCCGCCAGGAGCGACAGCGTTTCGAGTAGAAAGTCTGTCCGCAAATGTCTGTCTCCACGGCCTGCAAGGCCAGGGCTAGCAGAAGTTGCGCCGACGGGTTGGTTGCGGAAGCCGACCATGCAATGCACGACAGGCCCGTGAGTGGGAATTGAAGTTTGATGTTGATGGCGAGTACTGTCGACGGTCATTCTTGTACCGTAAAGCCCAAAACTCAAAGCCAAAACCTACCAAACTAGCTTATAATT